CGCGTTTTGCTTGCGGGGAACATCGTAGCCTGCAGTGGCCGATAAAGCGATGAGTGGCGAAGCTATAGGTAATTGATGTATCGTCCTGACTCCGCGCGACCGTTCGACCCCCTTGTATTTCTGACGTCAGGCCAAACCACGACCATTAGTTACTTGGCGCTTTAGACACCTAGGCTCCCCATGATTCCTCCGACTTGTCGGTAGTAGGGTCAGGTGGCCGTGAGATTTTGGTGAACTTATGGTTGATTGCCGTAAATTGCAGCGCAGTTAACCAATATTGAGTGAATGCTCTTCTTCTGTGTATATAAGTTTATAGTTCAAGTCAGAATTTAGAAATTTAGTGAGCAGGTAAGTATAGAATAGATTGACTTTCGTTTAACAATCAAGCAGAACTTGCGCTTACTTTCATCTGGCTTTGATCTCATCAGGAAACAGATGTAACTTTTCGAAACAAATATTTTCACACTAACTACTGCGTATTCCAAAATAAAATCTTTCCTTAATTATGAGATTATAATTCAGAATTACAGATTTTTTTAATTGAACTTAAAAATATAATTATCTTTTAATTACCTATTAATAAGGAGTTAGCAATAAAACGATATATATTTTATATTTCACAAATCAATGAATTAAATTTTAGATATTATCAAAATTTATAGAAAGAAATTAAAGACTATTTATTTATTTCATATAAACAATATATTTGTAAAGAACAATCAATTTTGTTTACAAATTTATATTGAAATTCACCTAATAATGTCTAGTAAGGTGAAGATATATAGTGATAGTATCTATATATCGACAAATAAAGTGTTATTACACTTTCATCTATTTATCTATACAATTGGCACGGTGAAAGATTGATAAACCGATTTTCCTTTAATCTACATTACCTCCCGTAGCGTGCTGCAATTGAAAATCAATTTTCCAAGCACGATACATTAATTCTATAAACGCGTTCGAGGGTCAAGACGAATTGAACGCGTTTTGAACGTATTGTAAGCGGGAAAACGAGAGAAAGAATTCGATCATCGCTAGCTATTATGTTCCCGGCTATGGGATATCAGACGCGATAGCGCGGTATAATTCATTCCAATTTCGACGCCCGATTTGTCATCCGCTTGGAACACAATTCGTGCAGTATAGGTATTACGATGCAGTGTTACGGTGCCGCGACTGCTATCATAGAATTTTTAGATTCTACGGTACAAAACTTCTTCGAGACGATTTTCTAACAAATAATACTTTATAAAATATATCTTCAATAGATCATTTATCGCGCTATCCGTATTGTAATTTTAAAGATAAGAAGTATAGTTTCCTAACTCCGAAATTCGAAAACTCCGAATAGGACTTTTTCAATCACTGACTTTTATCCAATTTTTATCGCCTTTTCTTACAAATTCTAAATTTTATCTTCGAAATTGAATTAATCTTTTCTTTTTTTCATTATTAGGGCACTTCGTATTATTTGGTTACGATTATTTTTACAAAGAACCGCCTTGTTTATTAAGCGAAGATTTGCCTTGAGCTCAGCCTCAGTTCGCGTTAGCAATTCATAGCAAACAAACCTTCGTCTTCGATGCGTTACTGTATTGTAATCCTATGCTATCTGAATAAAGCTTGAAAGTGTTTTACCATTTTCAACCCTTCAGAATATTACGCTGCGTTTCGCACGAAACGGCAGGCGGCGACGCGAAACGAGTCGTCGCTGACAATATAAATTTCCCCTATATTGAAAATCGACTGAGATCGACCCGGTTGTGTTAAGGCGATATGCTCGCTGAGTTTCGCGTATATATCGCGTATAAATCGTAATAATGTCGGAAGCAAGAAGATTTTTCTTGCAACATACAACATTGAAAAAGCAGCAGGCATATAATCGAAATATAATTAATAGACACAAATAAACAAATTGAGTGCGTAATAGATACGATAGAGGCATAAGATACGAGAAGGGCTTAGAACAAAAACGAGAACATTGCAAAAAGCGATAATGTCGAAGGCTAGAGGCTCCAGATCGGTGGTTTCAGTTGAATTTGATACGGCATCTCCGAGCAAAATATTGTCTTCTTGCTCAGCTATTTCTGAGGCAAATATTTTCACTAAACTCTTATAGCCGCGAGGTTACTTACACATTGTAATCATAAACAAATATTGTACCCGATAAAATTTAAAACTTAGTCACGTAGCATTTGTTGTGATATAAACAGCGCCGTTAACGTCTGCTCCCAAGAATATTATCAACGTTGTCGTTAGCGTCAAGAAACACACTCCGCTCATCGATATGAAACCTGTGAAAAATGATTTGAAGGTAATAGATATGGTGTACATGTAAAAGATGTATAAAAATAATACATATAAAAAATATGGTAATAGATCCGGTAATAAGGTACATTCCATCACACTTGCAAACATATAGAGAAGCATCATCACTAACATTGCCGTATATCTTTTTATAGTGTCTCTGTTCTGTCGACAAGCCAATAGAAACAAGCCAAAATTTAATTGGTGACCAAGATCCGATTCCTAAGGAAAATATCGGAGACTCGATTTTGAATGCATTAAAATCTAAGCCGAATTTCATCGGACAGGTATATCAGTTTCTAACAACAAAAATTACTTTGTGCTACGCGGGCAAAGGACGAGGAAACATTTATTAATAAACAAACGCGAGAATATATAAGGTACTACTACTACATAAAATATGCAACATTAATTTAAAAAAATGCGATTCGCAGGTGAATGCGGAGACGAAGGAACAAATTACGTTCCAACAGATGAGAGAGAATAGCGTGAAGTGTGCATTATGGCTAAAAAAAGTAGGCGTAAAGAAAGGCGACGTAGTAACAATATGCACGCGCAATCCATCGGTCGTCTATATGCCGTTTCTAGCGAGCATATATATCGGCGCTATTGTTAATCCGTGGGAGGAGAAGTATTTCAGAGGTATATAGATTTACCATTTTCTGAAATTCAGCACAATTTGTTTTCACGCCAATGCCTACCCATTTAATTATCTCCTACTTATTCGAATGTTTTTAGACATGATACGAGTTATGTACTTTCTGGTGATAAATGAACCAGATGTGATCTTTGTCGATCGCGACAATTTTACTCAGCTTCTCTTATCCATAGTGATCTTAAAAAGTATTAAAAAGGTAATTAAAATCGTAACCATCGGTAAGATTAACATTTCAATAAGGTTAAACTCCCTGGAAACTATTCTAAACGACGACTTTGATAAGACCGAGATCGACCAATTTTCCTGCGAGAAGAACCATATGATGGATACTGCGATTAGGACATTTTCTTCCGTTGCGAAAACTTATCCCGGTCAGGTGGACGTTCCTTACATAGCGTTTTCATCTCCGTCAAACAAGCAGACACCCGTTATGATTCCCGGTGCTATCGGTCTATGGTACGGATCTTTATGTTGGACTCACGGTCCGCTCTTGACCGTTCATGCTATACTTTCACGTGTGACAGCGATAAAATCTGCGGTACTCAGTGAAGTTAATTTGTATAAGACGATAAAGAAGTATAAGGTAATATGCGGAAGTATCCGAATTGTTTTGAGAGAGTGAATAAAATATTTTGCATGTGTGCTTCTCAGGTAACGTGGGTGTTTCTTGAAAGCGACGTGTGGAATCTGTTGTTCCTGTTCCATCAAATCCGCGGCCAGAACTTACTTTCGAAATATGATGTATCTACCTTAAAGACAATACTATTCGATAATTGGACAATACACTATATTGTTCACGAAAAATTTATTTCATCGCTGCCAGACGTTTCTGTCATTCGAGTATACAGTGCGTAAATTATTATAATTACACTCATCGTAATCAATAATTAATGAAATTGCGAAGCAAAAATGTAAAATCGATGATTCTTGAATTTATGGGCTGTGTAATGGGCTATTTCAGGTAAACCAGAAATTGGCGTAATCGCCTATCAACGAGACATCGAGCTAACAGCCGGATCTGCAGGTTATGTAGCTAAAAATGTACAATTATCGTTTATTAACAAGGATATGGAACATTCGGCTCCAAACAAAAGATTTTTACAAGATGCCGATGTCTATTGCAAAACTCCGTATATAACACGTTGTTGTAAGCACGGAACAGAACAACGTATGTGACACGAAATGTTGACTCGATAATTCGTAACAGTTTTTTTTTATTGTTCTTATACACATTGTAAGATAACTGAAATTCAGAAGTTTACAAATGATTACGAATCATTAATGAAGAAATACTAACGATATCATGCATCCTACAGCGTGGTGTTTTATCGGAGATAGGGGCTTTTATACTGAGGATGGCAACATCACCGTTACCACTGATACAGTCTTACAATTCATTGAATGTAAAGGGGGCCAACTCTATCCAAAAGTTATCGAAACCACGCTACAGCTCCATCCAGCTGTGTCCGAGGTCATTGCAACAGCTGTGCAACATCCTATTGATTTTCTGCATCTTGTGGCTTATGTTAAGACAAACCCCGGAGCAAAGGTTTATAGCTGGTTGTTTTTGTCAAGTATTTATAAAAGTTCAACGTTGAAAGATTTCACGTTATGTCTTAGGTGACGGTAACGAAGTTGCAGCAATTAGTGGAACGATTTAAACTTCACGAAGTGCGTTTTATTACGTACGATATGCCACGGCTACCTAATGGAAAAATAAATCGAGAGTACTTCCAATTGCTCAATAACTGATCATTATGATATTTCTATTGTAATCATACATATATATTCAAGTATGAATGATATTTCTATTGTAAATTTTAATCGATAGAAATACATACATATTCAAGTATGAATGAATATATAATACTATGATGCTAATAATGCCATCTATGTATAAGATTAGATTGCAACTGAAACATGCATAATACTCTAATATTGTATATACTTATATTTTGTTATTCATGTAACAAAAAAGAAGATACACTTTTTGCGGATATTATTAAAAATTTAAAAGTTACTGAGAATGTAAAGACTGGAATAAAAAAATGCGCTAAATGTTGGATAGGTGTGACGGATGACATATTGACTGAAAGCATCGCCAATGACATTGTTGCTCCCGGCAAATATGGAATTTTTACAAAATTGGTTAAAAGAATTGACAGTGATTTTTACAAACGTGTATTATTAGAATGTAAAAATTGTAAATGTAATAGTAATAAAAGACTACGTAAAGCAAATACAATTACATTATTATAATTAATTATATTAATGTAATACATAATAAAGTTACGATATAAAATTTTTGTATAAAATACATTGCCTGAAATTCTTTCGATGCCAAATTACAATACTATAATTTCATGTCCGTGAACAAAAAAATCGTAAAGTGCGTTTTTCCCGATGCAGTTGGGAAAAATTGGTCTTTAATAAAAATATGACTAAATGGGACAATCAGTCAAAATATCTTCATACTGAAAAAAAGAAAGAAAAAATGTACACCTTCAATTAGCCATCGGATTTTTATAGCAATACGAAAAAAGACAATTTTCTCCGAAAATCGTAGTACTTGATAACAATGAAAATTTTGATTCCCTCGAATTGATTCTTAACGGTGACTTTGATGAGATCGAAATTGGCGAATTTTCCTGCGTAAAGAAGGATCCAACGGTGCCGATGTTTGCTACCATTTGCAACAACTTATCCTAATATTGAACAAGTGTTATAAATTCCTAATATCCTAATATTGACAAATTGTCGATAATAATTCGAGTCAGTAATTTTGAAGAACATAAAATCACCCATCTTTTACATCTATATTACTTAACATGTTATTATTTGATTAATAAATCGAGAAATAAAGAAAATATTTTTATTTTTCAGCAAAATAAACATTTCAAAGGTGCAAGTGGCAAGGTGTATTCAATTAATGGAATCAATCAAATCTGAAGAGTTTAGAAAATTAGCCGCGGCTATATTTCAAAGACGCGAAATATATAAATAAAACGCAAAACAGAAGAGAAAACATTGTCACGTAACATCAGCTAGAAGCAACTTGAAAGGACATCTCTAAACGGAACAAAATTGTTTTACTTATAGTTGTAACGCCATTTCGCGCGCACACGTAAATAAATATCACTAGAAATTAAAACTTGTGTTCGTTGCGATACATGAAGAGCTATTCGACACTTCTGTGATTTCAATAAAGTGTTCTCAGCATTATTAATTTAAACAATTTAATAGCGATATGGCGCCTAAGGTAATAGATATATATAAATATAATAGAACTCATTCTATTACATTAGTAAAAATATAAAAGCTTATTAGTGACATTATCGTGCTTCTTTTAGGATATACCTTCACCCGAGGAAAAAACTAATGTACTGTTCGGGGAAGAAGAAGTAGTTCATAATATAAATATTGGAAATATGATTTTGGACGCATTTAAATCTAAGCCGGATTTTATCGGTCAGGTAATAATAAAACTCTTTCCCCAATAATAAGATTTATATTATATCCAGAGAAAGCATTCGAATAAGAAAACATTAAACGAATATAGCATCTTATTAACAAAAATGTATTATAATGCCAACGTATTTAATACCAATGCGACTGATACGTCTTGTAGATAGATGCAGCGACGGGAGAGGAAACTACATTCAGGCAGATGCAAGAGAACAGCGTGAAGTGTGCATTGTGGTTACAAAAATTACGCTATAAAAATATCGTAATATCAATATGCACGTCATGTAATCAAATGCTCGCCTATATACCGTACCTAGCGTGTTTATATACCGGTATTACTATCAATCCGTGGGATGCAAACTATTTCGAGGGTACATCGATCTCTTTCTCTAAAATTCAATTCTAATTTACCTCTTCACATGTATACCTACATATCTTTTATTTGCTCAATAATAAATATTTTTTAGATGACATACGACTTATGTATTTTCTGGCGGAATACGAACCGAAAATAATCTTTATCGATGGTAACAATTACAAGACGCTCATACGAGTTATCAGAAGCTTAGTTAATCAAGGAGGAATAACTCCTCCGAAAATTATAACTTTCAATAGGGTTGAAGGTGTCGATTCTCTCGAATCAATTCTGAACGCCGACGTTGACAGAGCCAAAATAGACATGTTTTCCTGCGACGAAACAGATCCTATGACTATTATGGCAGAAATGTTTTCTTCCAATGCAATAAGTTATCCTGGTAAAGCGAACGTTCGTTACTTCGCGTTGGCGTTTCCGTCGAATCAGGAGGTACCCGCAATGTCTCCCGGTGACGTTGGCCTATGGTATGGATCTCTAGTTTGGACCCACAGTCTGATATTGACCGTTCGTAGCATAATTTCGTACGTGACAGTGATAAAGTCCTCCAATTTCACCGCTGAAGACATGTACGAAACGATAGAGAAGTGCAAGGTACATAAGAACAATCAAATTTTTTTTGTTTCAAAAATTAATGAAGTACAACATATTTATTACGCATTTCAGGTGAAATGGGTGTTTCTTGAAAGCAAAATGGGCCGTCAATTATTTCAAACCGATGTTCGTATGTATGATGTCTCTTCCTTGAAGCAATTGATTTTCGGTGATTCCGCCATCGAGCAGAGTACTTACGAAAACCTCAACGAGTACTTTACAAACGTGTCTATCATTCAAGTATACAGTACGTATAATTTTAACCAACTGTCAATAATAGGAATGTATTGTGTGAAATTGATATTTATTGGATTTTTCAGGCATATCAGACTCGGGCATAATTGCTACTTATCAGCGGGACAATGATCCGATCGCGTCCGGCGGTTATTTGGCTAAAAATATTCAATTAATGATTCTTAATATACAAACGAAAAAACCTTTAGGCCCAAATGCACTAGGCGAGATTTGGTATAAATATACGTGCAAGTGGTGCGACGCTGAAACATGCCAATCGCTATTTTGTTGTAATAACCGAGTGAACAAGAATAAGACTAAGAATAAGAATAAAACGAAGCAGTTCAATAGTGCTGCTAGTAGTGCTAGTCAGTATAATGATTTCTCTTAATTAACGTATTGTATGCTTGTAAAAGGCTTGCAAAAAACCAAGTATTAATTAAAAAATAAAATAATATTATATGTTTTCAGTTACATCTACGTGGCACTGTACCGGAGATTACGGCTACTACGAAAAGGACGGTAAACTCATCATCATCGATAATATAAACCGCCTTATTAAATATAAAGAATATCATATCTCACCTCTAAGAATTGAGAAAGTGTTACAATGGCATCCGGCTGTTGCGGAAGTCACTGTACTGCCTGTGCCAGATATTGATAATGGTCAACATCCTAGAGCTTTTATCGAGATAAAACATGGAGCGAAGGTTCGAACCTGATTGGTTTTTTTCTCGTAAAGAATTAAGTAAGAGTTTCTGTTTACGAAAAATTCACATTGTTGTATCTTAGGTGACAGCAGAGGACCTAAACCAACTTGTAGAAGAACATTTGCCCGACATCTATAAACTGCGCGGGGGAGTGTACGTCACAACACTCATGCCACATCTTCCCAATGGAAAAATCGATCGGATGCTGGTCCAGCGCCGGTCACTGTCCACTCTGTGATTTAACGTTAACAGTATTATATTTTTTTTTACAATCGATAGAAGTGTTTCAGTAACAATTTTATAAACAAAATGCCCAAAAATCATCGAGTGTCATGTTTCAATGACAGATTCTTTAGTCAATTAAAATGATCAAATGATTTTTAAATAATTTTAAAATTACCACTTCCTTATCAAAAGGAAATGATTTAGAGATTATGACTTGTTGCAATATTTCAATTTATTGCTACATATATAATTTTATAACTAAAACTGAAATTAAAAGTCTATTGAAACAAATTCCATTTAAAAATTCTAATGATTGTAATTTAGTAAAGAGTTATTCAGCTAAAGTTTATTTCGCGAAAATTCAATGCTCTTTTTTGTCAAACATTTTTAAGTTGTTCGTAAATTTAGAAATAATTTGACATTTAAGGGAAGCTGAACATTGTTTGAAGAATCTCCATTAAAAGAAATATATATACAACGATTTTGGAATAAGGTCGAATTAAATAGTATCAGAAATCATGAAACTCTTCAATATCAAAAAATATTTTTGTATGATATTTCACGATAAAGCGAATTGTTAGTGTGATTTATCGGTCTATAATATTTCGTGATATAAATGTATGTAGTATTAAATGACTTATAGTATTAAATGACTTTCTTATTTTGTATAAAAAATATATTAATAATGCAAGTTTTTAAATTGCATATGTAATTACGGAAATGCTTTGGACAATATTAGTAGTTTGACAATAAAGATTGAAAATATAAGAAATGAAGAGAGAACTATTACGAACAGTACATGTTACAGTTTTCTTTCATTCGTTTCTATATTTAAAAATATTAAGATTGAATGATTTAGAACTTTCATCTTCAAAGTCTTCTTGTCTCAGATTCCCTTAATGGGTTAATATTGCCAAGTTGCAATATTAACTTTATAAGCCCGTCAATGAAAACAAACTCACAGTATCACACTGTTTTTATAAATGACTCAATTTGAGTCATTTTTAACCATTTTTCCTATCTATGTCGTCACTGCTCCTACTCAATTTGTCATTAATTTAACTAAACCAATGGAGGTAAAATAATGCTGTTTTGCGTTAAAATAAATTTAGACACGCATGATAATTAAAAATAACAAAATGTTATTTAACTAAAGATATTGGTTTAAATTTCATCCTTTCAGTATTTAATAGTGAATATATAGGCGCGTCGGTAAAAATTTTTGCGATATTATTTTAATCATTATATCATTCGTAAAAAATAATTAGGAATGGGAGAATCACAGTGAAAATATGTCAGCGTCAACGAATTTTTTTTTCACCTCGAGAATGGCAGATATCCGAGCAATGTCACTATACGGTGAGACTATTAATCAGCAATCTATCGTCAATCGTAACGTCTCGCATTCACGCGAACTAAACGCAAATAAAAGATGAAAGACACCGATCAGACGAACGCGCGCGCGCGCGCGCGATAGTAATCACTTCCAATAAATTGCATTCCTTGACATGTACGTGCAAAAAACGTCATAAAAACATCATCAATCTACGCTACGATTTAAGCGAATTCTTACGAAGTTTTCAAACACCCTCAGATATTAAAATTTTAAAAGATATAAGTAAAAAAAGAACAGTTTTTTCGTGTTAGAAGAAAATATTAATAAATAAGAATAATTACAAGTATAATTCTTTTTTATCTTAACTTTCGATGTGTGGAAGTTCGCGATGTTTTTTGTTATTATATTATATTATATCCTCCTGTGTATACATATATATTACCTCGATTATCATTAAACATTTCACATACACGAAGTGTGATTTATGCGACCTACACGGGCACGTCGATATCGAAATAAGTCAGCAGATAGGATTTGACGTTCTCTTATACCGGATGTACGCTTTACATCGATTCTGGTGGAAATTTCGATCGCCCCCGGCAGTAGGAAAGTTAAATGCGATCTCAAAGTGACGGTTGGTAATGGAGGCGGATTACAATTTTCTTGTGCCTCGAGATTTCATTGAATATGAAACTCGCCCTCCGGCCATTCGAACGATAGCCCTCCCGCATGAGATTCGGCTATGTAAAATAGGGGTCATATACGGGGTGTTCTGCTCCACTCCCTATATATAACGAAAGGTCTCCCTATAAGAGTAACTCAGGTCTATTTATCTTCCAAGTAATTCCGCTTGTCTAATGAGGGAAAAAATAACTTCTTGGAATTTTATTAAAATTTTACACATGTATCTTAAAATAAATATAAATTCTAGTATACTAGAAATTTTTGCATATATATAATTCAGAAACAAATATAAATTTCTAATCAAGTATCTACATACTTGTATGGTATCTACATACAAAATTGTTAAAGTTAGTTAAACAATCGTGTATTGAATAAATTTCAAAGTAGGTTAAAAATTACATATAATATTAAAAAATATATTCATCTGAAATTATCTGAAAAATAAGCTTTTATTTCCTCTTTGCGTTCTTAAGTTTCTCAAAGATTTTGTTTTATAGAGTCTTATATTTTAAAAGACTGTTCCAAACGCGATACTTTGTACTCACTGTGCACAAGTTACTATAAAAGTTTGAAATGCGTCTTGTTAAAGAATTGATTCCACATCGATCATCCAGGATCAATAAAGCCAGTAGCAACTTCGCGACACCTCGTATATAAACAACATGCATTTCACAAGCCGGCGATAACAGTCGCGTCCCTTAGAAGTCGGCCGGGGTCGCGAACTCGATCGACACGAACTTTCGCTATAATGCGACTTGTAAAACGCATGAGAGAAGGCGGTGTCGTTTAAAGTTTAAACGCGCCATCGCAAGTTCTCGCGAGCGGATTCAGCGAGCTCGCCATTATCCGCCAAGTTCCGGCTTGGTCTGATGTCCTCGCGCGGATTTACACCCCGTGTGCAATTCGCGTTAGCGTGCATCTAAAAACAACAGTCCGGCTCTGCGTCGGTTCTAGGCTGGCTTGATACAAGAGAGAAGACGCGTGTATATGCGATGGCGACGGTCGCAAAGCCGGACGAGAGCTTTGTGGTGTTAACGCGCGAGTTTCGCGCGAAAACGAAGCGAACTTTCGCGACTGGCCCGACCGGTCATAAATATTCCCGGACAAGATTGAAGCGATAAATTCGCAAACTTTCTCGATCGCCGGTGTTTTAATGGCCGCGACGAGTCTTTGGTGATGCCCGCCGCCGAATTGCATGCGGGATCACTGATCAAAAAGTTGCGATAAAAGTGCGACGATTCTGCGTAGTTATGACGATCTTCAATCCTGTATATCTTAATTTCTGTAATAAGTTGAGCGAATTTGTTCATCAAGTTCTGGTAAAAAATACGGGTAACGAATTGAACATATTTAATAAATTCAAATTTTTATTTGTTGTCGTTTTTCAATTTTATCAGCAATAAAACTAGCAATTGATGCAATTTGAAAACTATTTTACTACTTTAAAATTTTAATTAATTAGATGAAATAAGATTATTATATATAAATTTTGGAATTGATTAATTATAGTATAATAACTATATACTAATTGTAAGTATATAAGTATAACTATATATTTATATGCAATTTTAAATATTAGCGAGAATAGATTGTGACGTAATGGCAAGGACAGATGTTATAAACGTTCTCGATAATATCAGGATTTCAAAGAAGTATACACGACTCAGATCAGTACAGTGAGAGAATATAATCTTTATTATACTTTCGAGAGTTAAATTAATCGTACCGATAGCTTTTGTGGTCTCTGCGCTACTACTGTCGCCAGGCGGGCGCTCCCCACTTTCTAGCTCGCACCTATCTTTTGTTTACACAAGCGATACCCCGGGTGCATTCCTTCTATTTTTCCAGGACATCCTCCCCCCTTTATTAGAAAAAAGTACACAAAATATTACGAAATGCTTAATATAAAGTTACATCTTTTGATAAATCTTAAACGCTATCTCAAAACTAATTAGTAAAATATCAAAATTATACGCAAAACAAACAAGAAATATCAGATACATTCTTCTTACAACTAATCCTTAAACTAATACAAAACGATCGAACGTTCTCTTTGCGAAAAATACCCGGGCACATTAATAAAACGTGTCGTTTCGGACACCAATCGCATTTTAATTTAACTTTATATCTCTGTGAAGCGTGTCCGCGTTTTAGGCAATTAAAACAACAGCTTTCCCTTTTAACAATTTCCTTTCTTTCGTCTAACGTTAATTTACGCGCGGAGTCACAGCTTTGACTATCGTAACTCGACTTACAAAAAATACACTTCGGCTTCTTTTGATCCTTCGCTGTAAAAAGAACGCTCGCGCTAGTCGCGCTGGCCGCTTCTTTCGACGACTCCGTTTTACCTTTCGGCTTCTTCGTCTTCTCTTAGTCCGTCAATGACCTGAAGCCTGTTAACGCCATAATGTTGATGCGCTCCTCGTTTTCGACCTC